TTCTCACTCATAGGTGGGAATTGAACAATGAGATCACTTGGACACCGGAAGGGGAGCACCACACACCGGGTCCTATTGTGGGGAGGGGTAGGGGGGAGGGATAACATTAGGAGATATACCTAATGTAAATTACGAGTTAATAGGTGCAGCGCACCAACAAGGCACATGTATACATATGTAACAAACCTGCACTTTGTGCACATGCACCCTAGAACTTAAAGTATAATAATAAAAAAAGAATTATTGACCCACTTATGCCTAGAGTTCTATTAATGAAATGCTAAGCATGTGGGAGTTATTTATATTCTTCTTCTCAAGGTCATCACCAAGGTCTGATTGCAAAAATTCAAAAACTTGCAGTCTCAGGCATAAATGAGTTAAAAACTTTTAAGGAGCAAGCAGAATGAGGAAGATAAATTCCAGATTGTGTGCCTTAAATAACACCTATAAATTAGTGTTTATCCAAATTCTCCACACTTCCTGCTTTATCTGTCAGCATATGACTTTGCTTTGTATCCCACTTAAAACACAGAATGAATCAAAGCTACACACCGCCAAATCTACCCTCCTTCCTTGAGTTGTGCCCATATACTGTGCCTTACCTCCTGCCGCTTCAGATCAATTGTCCAGATTTCCATCCATGTCCAGCCTCTCTACTTTTGCACCAGATCTCACCCTTCTCAAGAGTACAGTTTCTACAATTGTCCTCAGATTTGAGAGCTCAACTATTTCGTGCCAGCAATTCTACAAATATGTACTAATTTCATAAACCTTGGAAAAACATTCTTGATTTCCTACTGATATATTCCTATGCCCCCTTTTAAAAGGAAAAGAAGGATTTCTTCTTCAAAGAGAAGCTGCCTGTGGTAGACTTACCTGTAGTAACTCTAACACCTTCACACGCAAGCTCTCATGAAGTCATTCCTGTGAAGCTTTTATTTCCACTTCTCCACACAAGGACTCTTGTAAAGAATTAAAATGGCCTCCGTGTTGCTAAATTCAATGGTCGATTTCCAGGTGTCATTTTACAAGACTCCTGGTTTTTACTCTCACTTTCTTCACAACTACAGCTATTCCTTCTTTGCTGGTTCTTCCCCATCTTTCTTACATTTTTATACTGTGGAATCGCAGGGATGAGTACTCAGTCATTTTTTCTACCTATCCTGCACACCTTGATCTCCTCATCCAGACCACAGTGTTTTACCTACCATCTATGTGCTGACAGAAGCTGAACTTCTATTCTGAACTCTAATTTTTCCCTTAAATCCACACTAATATATGCAGTTCTCCACGTATCACCTGTATATCTAATATGCGTTCAGATGCATCATGCCCAAAACCAAAATCTTGATCTCTACTTCCAAACCTGCTTTTCCCACAATTCCTCCATTTGCAGAGCAACACTTTTTTTCCAGTTATTGAAAACTACTGCCAAATTCAAACCATTTCCATATAGAAACTTTGTAACTTCTCCTCCTTCTTTCGATTCAATTATCATAAAGCTTATTCTCAACAGTCTAACCAGAATCATCATTTTCTGAGTTATGTCAATGCTTGTCACTCCTCTGCTCAAAAATTTCCCATGGTTTCCCATGTCGCTCATAGTAAAACTCATAAAGGCTCATGCAGCATACTAAGTGTTTTCTTTGATCTCATTGTCTGCTAAGTACTCCTTAATTCATTTCATTTCAGACAAAACAGCCCTTGCTTTTCTTCAGACTCTCCTGGAACATCCCTACCTCTGGGCCTTTAAAATTATAATTCTTGTGTCTGGAATATTTCCCCACAAACATGGAAATGGCTCACTCCTTCGTCCCTTTCAAGTTCCATATACAAGGCAACATGAATTTTCCTTTCCCACGGCCCCTTGAGTAGTCTTTGCTGTCTCCTCCACTTTATTTCTTGATTGTAACTGTCATATTCTGGCATATTATCCTTAATTTATTTATGCCCTTAGTCACATTTTGTCTCCTGTCACTGGAATGTAAGTCCCATCAGGACCATTTTGTTCCTTTGTTTATTTTTGTCTGTTTTATTCACTGCTATATTTTAACAACAAAAAAGAGTAGATGCATAGGAAGGACTTGGTATTTTATTGAATGGATGACTCTTTACAGTTTTGAAGATAGCTTATATTCAGTGATATCTGAGGGATCATGACAATCATAAGACTTTTTTTTTACAAGGGAAACTTGTAAGTCTGTAACTTGGTGGAAGCTGTTGGTGGATGGATAGATAGATGCTTATCATCAGTGGATGTTTGATAGGTGGTAAGAATGCAGATCTAGTACTCACAGAAGAAATTAGTAAATGATCAGTGTGAGTTTACATAAGAGGAATTGTTGACACCCTAGGAGTGGAAATGGTTGCCAAGGCTGATCACTGAGGCAGAGGAAAGATGTGTGGGTATTGGAATGAAAAGCCAAACTTGGATCCAACTTGGTCTCCTGCTTTCTCTTCTAATCAAACCTGCTATTATTTCCTGTCTATCACTCCTTCAAAACGGGTATAAAAAGGTTAAACTGTCAATCTATATCAAATTATTGACAAATAATTGACAAAGTGGTAATAATTGAAAATTTTCATTTTTCTAAAGATGCCTGGATACTTAGATATTTAAGGGTTGTTTATTTTGGGTAACCAAAATATAACCTCTATTTTAATAAAGAGGTGGTAGAATTACCTTTGAGAAAAAGCTATTTGCCATACTATTTTTACCCATTTGTAACACTCAACAATATTCTCCTCCTTACCAATAGTGAATTGCTTATTTTTGTTGTTATTGTTTTATTTTTTAACAACACGCAAGAACATTTTACATTTTCCCAAAATTTCCAAACCTTTCACATCACGTGGATTTAATTTGGGATAATAGAGAAAGTATTCAAAATTTGTTTGGGAAATAACCTGGTTACACCAAGCATGATGGGGTGAATGGCGGATTTCCAGGATGAGCTAAAGCAAAGAGAACTTGCTTATTTACAAATAACATATGACTAGTGCCAATGAAGTGGATTATTATATAAATAAAGCTTCTAAGATCATTATGATGGAGTTACTAAAATCTTTTTTGGTGGAAACATCTAAGGGAATTAGAATAAACGAATAACCTCTTCTATTCTCTAGAACAAGTTGCTGTTTCACAAAGGAAACTATCAAATATTGAAGTTTTGAAGGGAGCTACTAAGAAAGCATAGCTATTTCTTCTATGTTATAGAGACCCCTGAATATATGTTATGGTTCATTGTACTCCTATTGCCTGACCTGAGAAAATGCTCCTCAGATGAATTATTTTATTTAAATAGCTGCTTGGTACATGACAGATGTTAAAATGTGTCATAATGTATTGAATATTTTGTAATATTTTCCACTGCCACATATAAGTTGTAAACACAGTCAGTCATGTACATATCAATTGTAATTCTATATTCTTTATTACATATATGTAGTGAAACATATAATAAAATAGCAATGCATTTATCAGAAATTTCATATGCTTTATTACCCTCTAGTTATCCTCCTTGTGATAAGTTAATCGTATTGATTTCATCAGGAACATAAATGTATTAATCTTTCAATCACCTTAGAATTAAAACATGTTTATGTGATTATTGATGGTCTTTAATAAAAATACTAGCAACATCATCTTACTAAATGTATTCTGAGCATTGCTTTATGATTTTATAGCTATTTTGACATAATTATGTTTTGAAATAACTTTTTTCTGTTTTCACATATATAGTTTGGTTGCCACTGGTAAATGGGTTACAAATTTCTTTTGGTATTTTAATGGGAAACCTATTTCTAAAAATCCAAAATGAATTAGTGAGCTCTAGTTTATTTATTTTTTTTAGTAAATATGCCCCATACACCATTAAACAGCCAGCCACAATTAAAATTAATACGTGAATTATTTTTTGAAAGTGAATCATTTGGATCCTGTGGTTACAAGAGTTCATATCCCCTTACTTCTAGAATTTTTTTGTTCAGTTTCTTATGGCAAATATTAACTCATTCTATACAATAATCAAGAATAGTTTTAAATTGCTCTAACTCATATTTATCATCTGATGTGTGTATAAAGAGATAAAAATACTTTTAAAAGTACTTCCAAGTTTATCTTTAATTATACATTATTAGGAGTAAAATTTGGCAAAATATATTCATCAATGCTAAAACAACGTTCATAGATGATAAGAGTGATTAGTCCTCCCTACCTCTTTTCCACCACCATGTATTGAAATAAATTTTCAATACTTATGATGTTTACATGTTGACCAAAAATGTCTACATTTGAAATTAGTTTCCATATTATAGATATCACAGATTCTAATAAGTGTATTGAAATTTTTTTAAAAATCTAGCTATTATAAATTTTTAAAGACATTAATTTTTTTGTTATCTGACTTGTTTCTCTTTCCCTTTCAGGAGTTGGAATTTTCTAATTTATTTGCTGTTCTTCACTGCATTCATTCCTTCTTTGCTGCCAAGGTAGCTTGTTTGGACCCTCTATTTTTAGGCAATCAAGCTACTGTTTCTGCTGCTGCCAGCTCTGCTACCACGAGCAAAGCAAAGTATACAACTTGACGTACTGAGCTCTGCACTGACACGCACCATGACTATATAAGCAGAACACATTTACTCATCATTTAGACCCTAGAGAAACCATAACATCACCAAGTCAGCAGTGGAGGCAAATCGAAATTATGGCAGAAAAAAGAAGGTCATGTGGAACCTCAAAATCACTTCCATTCTGGATGACATCTGTGAAACATACTATATGAACAAAACAGTTCAGTTGCTTTGTACCAGTAAGTATATTGCTTTCACCAAAAGTGGAGACAAAAATGAATTATTTGAAGAAATATGTAAGTAATATAAAAATAGTAAGCTACTTATAAATAAAACTACGTATTAAAAGATTACTTCTGTATTTTAGATTATTTTGTATGACTAGTACATGTTGGGCAGAGTCATAAACAAAGCCCTATCATTGTATTATGAGGGACATAAAAGAGTTAAAAACCATAAATCAGCAAGGAGCATGCAAAAAAATCACATCAAAGAAGGATGCACTTTAATTTGCTGATGTAAATTTGCCCTCGTGTTCTCATCCCATGATTTGACACTGGCAGTCCAATTGTTTTTATCTTATTGTAAATATTCCAAAGAACTTCGAAAGGATAATTATTTTGACCCATGATAGATACAATGTGGAATGGACTATTCTCCCTTCGATCACTGTTATTGAAATGTCTTATTAGCTGCCAACAATCAAGTATGCCAATAATGTATTAATTTAATTATGAGTAATGGAAAATTTCATGAACCTCTCATTTCTTCTTTGGTTTTAAATAGATTTATATTTTACCTAAGAAGATTTATTATCAAATTAAAGTTTCATAAATTTTCAGTGAACCAAAAAACTTTAGTAGAGAAAATAATATAAACAAATATGGTGTGAGAAGCAATTCTTTGTAATCTGAAGTCTACTAGCTAATCATGAACTAAAATGTCCCTCTAAAGCAGTCCCAAATCTATTATATATGCTAATTAAATGACATTTTTCCATTTCAGTACTATTTTATTAGAAACAAAGGTGATAGTTAAAGATAAAAATTAAAAATCTTTATCTTCCCTTTTCATGGAAAGTAATTAAGTAATGTCAACTATGCAGGTTATTTTAGATATTTTGTCCTAAGAATGTAAATGTGGAAGGCTGGGAAATTTGAAAGCCTTAGAGGTGTGCAATTTACTGAGATTCCAGGTATTATACAACTAGTTGTATAATATGGAAAACATTCTCTGTCCTTTAGTACAGCTTTTTTGAGATATTTTTAAAAGTCAACTGTGTATGTAAGAAATAACAAAACAAAACTTTTTTTATTGGTACACATGCTCCCAGGTAAACCAAGTATTACATGTGTCCTTATGGATATAACCAAGTATCTAATAAATTGATTCAATTTTCTTTTTTTTCAAATATGTTTTTAAAAATCACTCAAGAAGGAAATAAAATGATTTCTATAAAGGACAGATTTATTAATTTTAAAAATTAATATCTAGTTGTTTTTATACTCATGGTTCATTAATTTATTTTGCATCAGATTAATTTGTAAATACCTCAAATTGAAAAGAAAAAGTGAGGGTTTATAATTGTCCCTGAGAAAATGTTAAACTGAGTCTAACATACCTTGCCCAAAGAACTGTGACAAATTACAATAAACAGTTTCAATGTAATGTATTTTGACCATAAAACTAAGTACACATTTGTAATTGGTATAGAACTTACGAATGATTGCACACTATACTGATCAAACACAACAGTCATTGTAAAATTGGAGCCCACCAAAAGCAGGCTTCAGTAGTAGGCCACTTCTGAACTTACGGAGAAAAAGCAGTGGGATACATCCAACTTAGAATTTTCAGCTGTGGCAGGTGGTTCATTGTAGAACTTCTGCTTCCAACCAGAGCTGAATCTCAGTGTTCCCCATATTGGGGTTACATGAATGTGTCCACAATCTGGTCTGAGGCAATATGACATGGGCTAATTATCCATAAGCAAAAGAAAAAAGTTTCAATAGTTTACCTACCTGTAATAGAATGATTTAAAAATTGTGAAATTTTGTAAACATTCAATTTCAAAATTTAAAAAATCTATCATTAGCTATATTTTTTTGACATTATGAAAATTTAGCCTATGCTCATGTATGTTATGAAGGAAAAGGTGCACAATTAGATATGTATAAATATATATCTCCTCAGAGAATACACACACACCTACATATGCATATATATATGCATATATGTGTGTATATATATATAAATATAGTCAAATGCTGACCATTAATTATATTAAAAGAATATGTTTTGTGTACATACATTTAATATACATTAAATTAAGTTGTAAAATGCAGTTTGATTAAAAACTTATGACAATACCATTATGATTATTTTTGATACTATTGATAAAAAAACATAAGCCGTGATTTTTATTTAACATGATTAGTACAACAGTCAAAAAGTAACAAAATACTATTCTCATTTTCATCAGTTTAACAATTAGTGTTTAATGTTTTCTTTACAATGTGATGATTAGTCGTTGGCATTTTTTATCTCTTGGACTACTTGAATGAGAAAGCTTATAAATGAACAAAAACACATATAAATTTATCTCTCTCATATAATTTGGGTTTACATGTATGAGATTTATTCACAAAATCCTAGTTTGTACATTGAGCACATTTTAACAGCAAAACGCTAATGTGTTAACCCCTCCAGTGCCTTGGTGTGTGTGAGCATGTATGTGTGATTGGGTGTGTGTCTATGTGTGTATGTGTGAGTGTGTGTGTGTGTGTTATCATTAAATGGTTCATTATGGTGTACATAACACAAGCTTAATGGGGAATATCGTTATTTAGGTCAGAGAATGAAGTTCAAAGTCATTTGAAAACTGCTAACTACTATAACAATGTCTTTTGCCTGATAAAGAATAACAATTCATCTAAGCTGAAGCATATTACAGAAAGGGCAGTTATAATTTGTTATATTGCAACAAGTATTTATTTAAAAAATAATTTAATAGGTAGTGTATGTGTAATGTATACCCCAACACACTTATCCAGCTTTTTTAAAATGGGAGGATAATCAGGTAATTATTTCTTGCCCATATTTCAGACGTGTACCAACTTATAATTTTGAAATCTTCTCTCATAAAGCTGTCCTTCAGCAAGAAAAAGAAAGCAATTACTTGAAAATAAATGTCGAGTCCGTATTAGCCATGCAAGGAGAGAAATGTTCCTTTGGGTTCATTAGTTTATAGATCAACATTTCCCTCATTTACAGTGCTGAAGCTTGATCATGAACTTTGTCTGTGTTGAATGCTGGATTTAAGAAAAGCTTGATTTATTACTGAGAAAAATTAATTATCCTAACAATAATTTAGAATTACTGCTAGAAATCAGCAGTGTGGAGAAGCTTTAAAAGTACAAGGATGATCTTGTGCTTAACTTTTTAAGGTAAGTGTAGACGTTTCGATATTAATAAGACACATTTTGCTACTATTAATACTGCTGTGCTTATAATTTCTCCTTAAGAAATTGCTTTATTCATACCTCTAAATTTGTTCTTTATTGTTTATTCTTACTACTGAATACTTTAAAATCATAATGCCACTTATTTGCACATTTGAATTTGCTTTTGCAAATAAAATATTATAAATGTTATATATTTATATACATTAAAATGCAATGAAAATACCAGAAATATAAAATGTAAATATATTTATTTCATTTTTAATTGTTTTGGTGGATGTTTGTAAAATGTAAATTAATATCTGTGACAAAAATTTGTCACTTCGTTCTTTCAGTTAATTAATGTACTACTAATAAAACCATACTTTTTTAAATGAAGCATACTGAAAAATAAAAACAAATACTTTTTACAGATTTGGGTTTTCATTTCTTTGAGTTTGATTTGTAAGTTTTACATATGTTTAAAACATGATCCTGAGAGATTTAACTTCAATTAAAAGGTTTAAGATATGAACTGTGTATATGTAAGTGCAGACTATGTGGTACATAATCTGTTCTAGTTGACAAATATTTACGAAGAATAGACATCTAACTCCTAAATGCTCCTAAAGTTTGAAGAAAGATGGTATTTGTCAAATTACTTACCCAACTGAGTTACAACTTCTGAAAAATATGACATTTGATATCACTGTAATTTGTTTATCAATTCTAGTGTCTTTTCTGTAGATTAAGATTTTCTATGTTGACATCCATGCCATCTACAAGAGAGTCTGTTTTATTTATTCCTTTTTATTAAATACGTTTTAATTTTGGCTTCCTACCATATTACACAGGTTGAAACCTCCAATTTAACACTAAATTGTTGTTTAACACTAATTGTTGAAAGTAGACATCCTTGCCTTGTAATGATTTTAGGGGAAAAGCATTCAATCTATCACCATTAAACACTTTGTTGGCATGGGTTTTCAGTAAATGTCTTTATCAGACTAAGCAAGTTTCTATTTCTTCCTAGTTTGCCAAGAACTTAAAAGTTCATAATAAATTATGAATAAATACTAAATACTGTCATAGGCTTTTCCAGCATCATTGAAAGGGTTACAGGATTTTCATACTGAGTAACACTGATTCATTTTCAAATGTTGAACTATCATTGCATTGCTGGTATCAATTCACTTGGTCATAACATATTATCCTCTTTATAAGTTGTTGGATTTAATATGAATTATTCTCTCTCTCTTTTTTGTGATAAGTTCTATAACCATCCTGGCCCTGAGTCTACTGGAGCCCACCAATCTTCTTTGGCAGCTCCAACCAGCTTTAGAGTTTTCTAGGTATGAGTCAGATACTACTATTCCTTAAGTCTTACACACTCTAGGGACCACAGATCAAGCATTTTTGTTGATTTTCTGCAGATATTTCCCACCCCTGTTTATAGGTGCAAGAAGCACCCAATTGCTATGATAGGCAGGGAAACAGAAATGTCATAAAAGTCTTACAACTCAAAAGTTTCCACTAGATTAGGAATTTAACACAGGCAAGTATGGAGAGAAGGAAGGAAACATACACCTGAAATATCAACTCCATTTAAGAAAAATCCCACAATAATATACGTATATTTAACCTGGTGAGGCTGGTCTCTAACTTTTGGGCTCACGCAATTCAACCGCCTCAGCCTTTCAAAGTGCTGGGATTACAGGAGTGAGCCACTGCACCCAGCCCAAAATATATATATTTTTTGCATTGAAGGAAATGTATGAGTCCACTTTTGTGTGGATAGAGTTATTAAATCATTCGGATACATATCAATGAATTCAATCATCAGATCATTGGGTAGGAATATATTTAGTTTTGTGAGAAACTGCCAAATTGCCTACCAAAGTGACTGTGCCATTTTGTATTCTCACAAGCAATAAATGAAAGTTTCTATTGTTCTTTGCCCTTGCCATAAATTTGTTGTCAGAGTTCTTAATTTTAGCCACTCTAATAGGTGTAGAGTGACTTCTCGTTGTTTTAATTTACAATTCCCTAACTCTCTTGTTTTTAAGAATGTCTGATATCTACTTATGCTAAAGAGAAGGCAAAGATGGAAAAATGTAATGGGATGAGACTTTGCAAATAATTGTAGGAGGACAATAGAGATAGCTGGCAACTCTTCATAATGACATTGGACAGAAATTTACAGTACAGCAAACACCTAGCTTAAAGATATGTAAGGACACAAAAGAATGTAACTGTGCCTGGGATTGTTGTGATAAAGGCCAAAACTGAAAGAGAACATTAGGTATAGCTGTGAAAATAATTTATGCTATGATAAGGAATTTCAGGTTTAGTTTATTGACAATTGGAAGATTTTAGAATATTTTAACCCAGAAAATTACATCAATAGCTTTTTAAAAAATTATATTTATTGGCAATATGGAGAATAAAATTAGAAGCAAGAAAGGAGAGATTGCAAGTTTGAGAATAGCCAGAAATAAGTAAATTCTTTCTGGTTGATCAAATTCTCAGGATGATTAAAATCTCTGATAAGCCCGATAAATAGAAATAATAAAAAGGTGTAATAGTGTGTAGTTCAAGTATAAATAGATTTCAAATGAGAATAGGGAAAACTGTAAATATTTTCTTAAATGTGCTTATCTTTGTGAAAAAATCTAAATTAACAAACTTGGAATCTAAACTATCAGCAGGTTATTATAATACTCCCAAGAGTATGAGTGATCATAATTTGTACGTTTGGTATTCATGTTGAATATGATAGAATAAGCTCTGCACAGGAGTATCTTGTAAATTTCCAAAAGGTTAATAAGAAACAACAGGGACAACC